TATATATATTTAAAGAGAGAGAAAGCAGCATGTTACAGATCTTGGTTAAACATGTCCAGGAGTCTGTCACACATTTGAAGTTGCATGGTCCCACACTTGTTATTTTTAAGGGTTGTTAGATAGAAACAGTATACATTTTGAATACATTTGTCAGTATTTTTCTTGGCTGAAAAGAAAGTGCCTGTATATTGATTCCATTTCCTTTTACCACCTTTTTTCATACCGTATAGATTGACTTAATTCCTGGAGCTAAGTGGTGATATACACTAGTGTGAGCTAGAACCAGGCCTGTGTTGTTCCTACTAAAGCAAATTTTGTGAACAGTTACAAAGACTGTTTTCTGCTGCTGTGTTGATTATATGTTACAGGTAATTTATAAATTTGGAGTACTGTTTTAAAAGGCTCACCAGATCCAATCCCCATCTTTTCATTTGATGTCATTATGTTGCAAGTTAATCCTGGAGTGCTTTCCTGAAGTACTGGAATATCTAATTACAGGCTATGATAAAAACAGAACTACTGTTTCACCATATCAGACTAATGGCGTGGATTTATCTCCTTAGCTTTAGACATCTACATCTGAGTGAGCCAGCCAGACTCCCTTTATAACTGAGGAAGAGAAGCTGTGCCCTTTAGCACATGGTTCATCACCACCTTGGACTAAATGACTGACATAGGCCAGAAGGACTGCACCCTATAGATCTGTGTGTTTCTCTCCACTGATGATAAAAGAAGTTCTGGCAACTAGAGCAGATGTGGATACAAAAGGTTATGTGAGATTTTGCCCATGCCCTACTGCTGTTCACTATTTCTAGACATTGATGGATTGCTCCTTACCTTCTGAGGTCATTACACATTGTGTCTTTTAATTTTGAAGATTATTCCTCAAAATACTCATCTTACTGACTTTTTTTGCCATGTGATAAGTTACTGTTGGAAGTGCCAAGTTACCTTTTCTTGGCTTTTAGCAAAAACATGCCAGTTTGTAAGAATCCAGAGATGGTTTTTATTTCTGGATTAATTTTTAATTAATTAAATTGTTAATATTCTGTATGTAGTTTGTACATTCTCCTTGCTACTGGCTTTTATTTAAAAGATAGAAATTAATAAACATAATTTTTAAAAAACCATTTCAGTAGCAACTTTTCTGCAGTAATAAGCAAGGAAGTTTTGATACTCCCAACAGAATGTGTTACTAACCAGTCTGCCTTGACATACTAAGGATATTTCTGTAGAAATTTTGACATCTGTGCTTCGCTTCCATTCCTCTCAGCAAATGTTCATATTTGCTGAAAAGGTGACTATAAGTAGCTAGGAAGAAGGAATAAAATAGTCAACAATAGTAGTGCTCCAACTGAGGGGGCTGGAAGATGATACTACATTTCAGTTTCTTCCTACACTGCTTTGAGGGGAAAAAAAAAATTAATTCATAGTAATTTTCGTTTTATACAGGAAAATTTAATTTTTTCCTCTCTTCATCATTTAAGTGTGTGCACATTTAAACACTTAAATAAGAGTTCAAGCACTGTGTTTATCTAACACAGAATAATATACAATGCTTTTGATTTTATACTGGCTCCTTAGGCTAATTGAGGTATTGCAAACAGACCCAATTCTTTGGCTAGGCTAAGGTGCCATGTTATGTTAGTTCTAAACAATGCATACCCGTTGACACCAACTAGGATCTATCCTAGGGTATTTTAACCTAATTGCCTTGATTTCAGAGAATACTGTGTTGTTAAGCATCCCTGAGAAATGCTCTTTTTAGAGATATTACTGTAAAGTAATTACCTGTTTAAGGTTGATAAAGGAGCATGTGGACATAATGTAATACGTCATTTCCAGTTAGTATCTATCTTTAATCATTTAGTAACAAAGTGCTTTATCAGCTCTAAATGTTTAATCAGGAAAGGAAAATCCTCTCTCCCAGGTTGGCATGCACAATATGTGTCAAAGGCAGAAGAACCACATCTCTAGAGACTGAATTTAAAACACACATTGGCCCCTTATTTTTAAAGGCCAGATTCTTTCCGCCCATTGGTGTATAGAAAGTACTTGTGTCCCCGTGTTGTGCAGGTAGGACTCATAGAAGTGAAGAAGAGGAGAGCTACAGGCTGATCGTGGCGTGTCTCTGTCGTGGCCAGGGAAGCGAGAAACGTGGCTGTGTGGCAAAAGTCACCTGCCCCTCTCAAATGACTGTGCGTACCTGGGAGCGCTTTGCTGACTCTGTTCTTAAGAGTAGGATGTTACTGCGCATTGTAATCCCTTGCAGAGCTGGTTTTGTCATTAGAGATTTATGGTAGGCCGAGGGGTTCCTTTGGTATCTGTGTTTTAGCTTTCCTCTTTCTTCTCCGTTGCCACCATATAAAGAGGAAGTAAAGCTACAGTTTCACTTGAAGAGAAACTAGGAAACCTACATACAACAAGAACTCTTTGTTTTCAGGAGTTTTGTGTGGAAACATTGTTTCCTTTCAAGCACAAGCTCTTATCTGAGGACAGAAGAAATACACCATAAAAATGCTAGTATTTATTTAAATAGTTTTGCTATCAGTTTTAATAGACTTATAGTACATCTTTGTAATTCAGCTGACAAAATGTACGTGTACACTTAATATTTCATTTAATGTTTTGACTTGACAAAATCAATACCTCTCAGGTTTCTGCACTCTGCACAGTTCTGTTTACATAAGAAAAATATTCTTTCCACTGCTGCTTTCAGATAGAAATGGATATGAAGAAGTTCCATGTTTTTAAAAACTGAGAAAAATAGAATCAGAAAGAGCAGTGCTTGCTGTTTACTAACATAAGGCAGCTGACATTTGAAAGACTGAGTGGTTGGTGTATACAAAGTTTTGTTCTCATATGCTCTGTCCCCAGTCTTTAATCAAATTTCTTTCAGTCATACTTATGATTTTTGTAAAACATTAAAAATAAAAAAGTCTTTTGTAAAGCTTCTTAAAAAAAATTGAATCAGATTACATTAATCTTGTTTGCTGATATTGAAATGTGAGGTCAGGTATTTTAAGGGCTATTATACATTATTAAGTGAAATCTTTCCTTATTTCTTCTGTTTTGCCACCATTTATCTTTTATCTGGAAACACATCAAAGTTTTATAACCTAATTTGCTCTGAATAAATTTTCAGTCTGTGAACTTCAGCATATAAAATCAGAGCAGTCCAGTTTGGTAAGAGTGTTATCGTAGTGTGCTTAGAAATTTCTGGACAATATATACAAATAGAATTCAGTCCTAAGAAACATCTTTAAGAGTGTATCATTTTATTTTAACAACTCCTGGGAAAACAATGCTATTCTAGGTTCAGGGGGGTTTTTGTTTTTTGTTTTTAAACCATCAACTGATCTTCTGGCTATGTCTTGATGCAAATGTACCATTCTGTTGCTTGTTTGGCATGGGCCTGTCATATTTTTATGAATGTACAATGGAAGTGCCTGGATTTTTCTTGGAAGCTGTGCTAGAACTGCTTTTATGGGATGCTGAATTTGTGTGCTATTTTATATCATATAGCCTGAGGACCTGGTTCTGTGTATGCTTAGTAAGTTTTATAGCATCTTTGCTGTCTGTAAAACCAGTGAAACTACTTCTAGAAAGCATGGAAAATGTTCTTAACTTTATTTGTTGATGGTGTGTTACTGCGTAGTCACAGTCATGGAGAGATGGAATTCAACAATTAAATACCCTAACAATTAGGTTCAAACATAATCGTTTGTGCTGGATCCATAGGTTCCAGGTATTGTGCCAAATACAATTGGGAGTTTTTCTTTGATGGACACATGAGATAAAATCCTTTTCTGAATGTAGAAGATGAATTAGAGTTATCTAAATGCATTGCAAACCTACTTTTTGTACTTCAGTCTGAAGTAATTCCTGCATAGTGTTTTTGAAACGATTTAAATTAGATTTTCAAAGTATGGAAGAAATTACAATGTGTATTTTGTTTTAAGTATATACAATTTGTTTTCAAATTGTAAGGTAATGTAAATAATGAGTTCTGATCTAGTTGTTGAGAAGTCTGTTTTCAGGAGTCTGTATTCTCAGTACTTTTCTGTTATTTCTAAACTAGAGTCTTTGACCAGGTAATGTAGTCTTCTGAGATCTGTTTAGAAGTAGGATTTGAGATGTCTTCCAACTCAGATTTGTCCTGAAATGTATTTATTCCTCTCTAGTCCTTGCCATTAAGTTCAGATCATAGAATCATAGAATTATAGAATGGCACATGGGGATGGTCTGCTCTTGTGCCTCCAGGATTTCCTTCTTGAAGAGTGTCCAGCCTTCTTGGGCTCCTTTTCCCTTCAGGACTGCCTCCCAAGGGACTTTACTGACCAGTCTTCTAAACAGTCCAAAGTCCACCCTTCGGAAGCCCAAGGTAGCAGTTCGCTAACTGCCCTCTGTGCTTCACCAGGGATCAAAAATTCAGTCATTTCGTGATCGCAGTGCCCCAGGCATCCTCCAACCGTCACATCTCCCACAAGGCAGAGAATCTGTTTGCAAACAACAGGTCCAGCAGGGGATGATGCGTCTTATTCCTAGTAGCTCTATCTAAAAGCTCTAGATCCTTCCTTTGTTCTCTGCTTTTTAACAGGCAAGGTCTCCAACATGCACATTACTTTTATTTCAGAAATGCTATTTGACGCATTTTTATCCCAAGACAATAGTAGTGTGTGGGGTTTTTTATTTGTTTTTGAAATATGTAGCTTATTTTTTTCTGTTAATGTTGAGTTTCTTCTAGTTTATGCTATAGTGAAAGCAGAGTTTTATCAACACTTACATTGCTGTAGTGTTTTTTCTGCTGTGGTGGATTTGATTGAGTCAGACTTTCTCTTACTTACTTGGCAAATAAATGAAATTAAGAGCAGGAGGTCTCTAATAGGAAGTGTGGTGACTTCATTTATAAAATCAGGAAGTAAATAATCTTTCTTCAATAGCTAGAATAGGTAAGCTGATTCATTAATTTACTCCTGAGATTTTGTCTTGCTGTAGGCATTGTATGTATTGTCCAATCTGAAGTGTCCACCGACAACAAAAGCCAGCGGTGGATGACGCGAGTGCTGACCGTATCTATTTGGAGTAACAATTTTTAGCAACTTGGCTCCACAAAATATCTGACTGTATAGCATCTGGCAGAATGTTCATCTGTGTTTTCAGGTGCACTACAATGTTGGCAAAAACCTGGCTGACAAAGGAAATCAAAGTGCTGCAATCAAATACTACAGAGAAGCTGTAAGGTATTAGGAATTTTACCACTTTAATGAAATATCTTAAAATAGCTTTCATGTTTAACATGAAGAAAATGCTTAGGTATTCATTTTCATGGTCTGCAGCATTGCAGAGCTAGCAATTTGCTTGTAGTAATACATGTCTCATACATAATAATAATCTCTTAAATTTTAAATTTTAGGTTGAACCCTAAATATGTGCATGCCATGAACAACCTTGGAAATATTCTGAAAGAAAGAAATGAGCTCCAAGAAGCAGAAGAGTTGCTGTCCTTAGCTGTACAAATACAGTATGTTCAGAACAATGCTAAGCAGTGTTTTGCACCAACTGAGCAGAAATGATGTAATAGGATCTTGTGTTCCAAATGCTCAATTGTCCTCTCCCTTGTTTTTTTCCCAATTTGCCCAGACCTGATTTTGCTGCTGCATGGATGAATCTGGGAATAGTACAGAACAGTTTAAGAAGGTTTGAAGAGGCAGAGCAAAGCTACTGGACAGCAATTAAACATAGGAAAAAATATCCAGATTGTTACTACAATTTAGGGCGGTTGGTAAGTGCCTTTGAATAACTGATAGCTGTGACAGTAATGTCTCTCTCTCTGTGTATGTATAATTCAGCCGTACTGTTAAATGCAGATAGTTATTCCAGCTTGATTTGTAGTTCAGGGTGATTTCATGTTTTCAGTAGCTTTTCGTATTGCTTTCCCAGTGCACTTCCTTCCATATGACCTTTGGTAGTCCTGCCTTTTCATATAAAGAGGTATAAGGGAAAATAGAGATTGTGATCTTTTGTTCAAAAGATGTTATTAATCATTTCCCAATCTTAGACTGTTTTGCAGTCATTAGTATATTGTAAGGTAGTAGAACTATGCCAAAAAAATCCATTTAGATTCTTGGAAAAATCTATATTGAATATTTACTTTCTTGTGTAGATTCCTAAATTGTATGCTGGTTTTCCTCCCTATCCTGTTGGCACATGCATATTTGAAAACAAGCCTGGGTCCCAGAGAAAAGCAGGGTAAAATCCGTGTATAGCACGCTGTCTTCCATACTGTTCCAGTATTCTTTTTACATTTCTTAGTTTTGTCTATAAAAACGAGTTCTACTAGAAAGGAATGAAACATTATTAACTCTTTAGTGTCTTTAGTGCATGATAGGAAAGTAAAGAAAATCAGGGTGAAATTACTAAGTTTTTCTTTCTTTTTAGTATGCAGATTTGAATCGCCATATAGATGCATTGAATGCGTGGAGGAATGCTACAGTTCTGAAACCAGAGCATAGTTTGGCTTGGAACAATATGATTATATTGCTTGATAACACAGGTATGAGCCCATTTGAATGTTTTAATGAATAATTTGGTGTCTTGTAAAAATTAAAGCTTTATCTGTATTCATCTGAAAGGACTCCTGCCTCTTCTTTGGCTACCCAGACACTCTCTATAAACAGAATATCTTCTGACTCAGTGGTTTTAAAGCATCACATGAAATCCTGCCCATAAATTGAATTTCTGATCCTTATTTGAAATGCCATCATTATGCAAGCATGTTTGTATTACAGACCAGACTTCAGAACTTTTGAATCTGTGCTTTGTTGTTCTTCTGAAAGTGTTATCTGTTGAAAACAAAATGGAGATTTTCTATTGTCTTATTCTGCAGGGTTTTACATTTGTGTTTGTGTGTGTGATACCTGTTTTTCTTTAAAAATGCATGTAATCAGCCATTTGTACAGTATGCATGCTTGCAGCATGAGAAGTAACTAATAAGGCTGTGTTAAAAGATGCCTTCTCTTTTTCTGCTGTCTGGGCTTCCAGGCAATCTAGCTCAAGCAGAAGCGGTTGGAAGAGAGGCCCTGGAATTAATACCTAATGATCATTCCCTTATGTTTTCATTGGCCAATGTACTGGGAAAGTCGCAAAAATACAAGGTAGGTAACTAGAGCTTTCTGAGCGTTGGTTGTGTTTTTTCCTGTTTAAACTCTGTGTAAGTTTCTGTAGAAAGTGTTGTTAGAAGGAGGTTGTTAGATAATTGGGTTCCAGTGTCCATTTCTCTCACAGTATTGCACTGCTGTGTGATTCTGGCCTAAGTTCATCCCACCTTGTTTCAGAGGCCTGTGTTAGGAATGTTGCTGCTCTGAGGGATGTCAGCAGGGAGTAGAGAGAAATAGGCTCTTAAGCACACTAGAGGGCAGTTAGGGTCTTATATTGCCTCACTGCCAATAGAGCCTGCTCTGATTTAGAGGCCTGGGTTCAGGAACTAAAATTAGATGTGATATACTAGTCCTTGTGCTTTTCGTATGTAAAGGAAGCAAGGTTTACCATTACCCAATAAGAATTCTATTCACTACCACTACCCAATATGAATTTCTGTTTTAGATAACTCAGACACTACCTAAAATAGAAATATTGCAGATTTGCTAATCTCAGATTGAGGATGGGATACCTGGGTAATCTCAGAATATGATGAGGAAAAAAATCCATACACTGAACAATGTACTTTCTCTTGGATGCAGTGGACCAGCCTGTGAGTTGTACCTCAGCATTAGCTACTTATATTTTGCAAGTAGTAAATGTAGTGGAACTGATGAGAATGAGTTATTTTCCAAAAGGAATCACATGAGCCTGACGGAGAATAAATCATACACAGTTAATATATTTATTTGTTTTAATTGACTCCATAGTCACTGTTTTATGTATGTAATAGGGACAAAGTAATAATCAAGGAAGTTTTTGCTATTCTTCAGAAAAACATCATTTACTGAACTATGGCTTTTGGGGGTTTTGATGACTTTTTGGTAGTGATAATGTTAGCAGTTCTGAAGAAACATCCTCAGTATATGCAAAGTAAGAAGATTTTATGATGTTAAAAAAGAAAATTTTCTTTTTTTCTTTTGCTCCATTAAAACTGGACAGTCCAAGATTAAAACTCTGATTTCTCTCCTAGAATAATATCATTGGGTTTGTATCAAAATCAGACATTGTAAGACGGTCAGTTCTTGAATTCTGAAATGATAAATTTTGGTCTCAGAAGAAAGTAAAATAAGAATCACACCTGTGGAAAGTGTGGTAGTAAAAGGCTTGAAAATTAGTACTGTCATTTGAATGGAGATATGAGAATGATAGTGTAGTTGATATTCTCATTCACTGTAAATCAGTGTATTGCCACAGAAAAAAATTTACTGCAATCAAGAATCTGGTTCAGACATATATCCTTGGGTTTTGTCAAATTAAAAAATAATAATTCAGTAAAACAAGTCTGTCACAATTCAGATAGAACGTAGTCAGATTCTATTTGGATATACTTCTATTAATCTATTTATGTATTACATGATATAAATAAACTTACAGTGCCCCACTCCCTTGCATATCACACCTCTCTTTTCTTTCTACATTCTACTTTTTCTCTTTCACTGTCTTTTTCCCTGTCTTTCACATGCACATACACAACTATGTGCTCTCTCTCCCTCTGGCTTGCTCTCACATGTATTTATTTCTAGCTTCAAGATTATTTTTGAGTGGAAGAGGAAACAGCAAGGCAGGTGGAACCCTGAGGGCTGTACCTGATAAATTTATTTCTCAGAATACATACATTTTTCCACCAGTTACTGTGTCCAGTTAAATTTCTACGATCCTATTCAGCTGTGGAGTCATGACCTGTCCACACGTGAAGCCAGGGCCTCTGACAACCCAGCACTTGCTTTTGTTTGTGTTAGTGATGTCCTTAGACACCCCCACGTTACTGTTTCTCTAGACTTGCTGGGGGGTTTTTTCTCTGCACTCTTTGTTTTCTCTCTCCATCTGAGACTGTTACAAAATATATATTTTAGGTTCCAGAAGGTCATACATTAATGTATCTGTGTACAGAATATATAAGGGATGAGATTATGGAAGAGCTAATTGCTAGATTATTATTATGGATGCATTAAGAAGAGTGTGTCCAGCAGGTCAGGGAAGTTATCCTCCCTCGCTACTGTGTCCTGGTGAGGCCACATCTGGAGTATTGTGTCCAGTTCTGTGCCCCCCAGTTCAAGAGAGACCAGGAACTATTGTAGAGAGTCCAGCGGAGGGCTACAAAGACCATGAGGGGACTGAAGTATCTTTCTTGTGAGGAAAGGCTGAGAGAACTGGGTCTGTTTAGCCTGGAGAAGACTGAGAGGGGATCTTATCAATGCTTATAAATACCTAAAGGGCAGGTGTTGAGAGGATGGGGCCAGACTCTTGTCAGTGGTGGTAAGCAATAGGGCAAGGGGCAAGGAGCACAAACTGGAACACAGGAGGTTCCATCTAAAGATGAGGAAAAACTTATTTACTGTGAGGGTGCCAGAGCACTGGAATATGCTGCCCAGAGAGGTTGTGGAGTCTCCTTCTCTGAGGATACTTGGAACCCACCTGGATGCAGTCCTGTGCAACCTGCTCTAGATGAACCTGCTTTGGCAGGGGGGTTGGACTAGACAATCTCCAGAGGTCCCTTCCAGCCCCTACCATTCTGTGACTGTGTGATTTTAATGAGTCATGAGTATGAAAGAATAGAGGGTTTTATAAGGTATTCAAGAAGAGTATTCAGCATGACAGAATAAAGAGTATTTATAATGAAATAAGTAGAAAAAATACATTGAAAACAAGCTAGAAAACATTTCCAGGTGTAGGAAAGTCTGTCCTAGTGGACTTAAAAAATAAAAGAGGAGGTAGTGATTTTGATTGCTGGCTCTGAAAGGTCATTATGCTGCAGGGGAATGTGTTGGAGACAAAGTAGAAATGATAGCAAGGGATAATGAAGGTTTCAAGTCAGCATCTTGAATAAAGCAAAAGGTGCAGTGGAGCCCAGGAAAGAAAGCAGAGGGCCAGTAAGTGTTTTAAGGGTTCAGTAGTAGGTTTGCAAAAACATACATCTTCAGCTACATGCTGAAGAGCAAAAAACTTAACTAGTAACTTCAGATTGATGGGTTATAACAGGGAGAGCAAATTAAGGGAACTGGAAAGTGGACTCACTTAGAAAAGGTTATGATCTCAGCAGCTGTATTTTGCATCGCCTAGAAAGTGGCGATGCAAGTTTTTTAAGTGGGAAAATGCTAAATGACAATAAAAAGCATTGAAAATTCATATTTCTTGTCTACCCCCTCACCATGTAAAAACAGAGAGAAGTGGGTGACCCTTTAAGGATTTTTATTAAGTGTTTGGAATGGGAAGGGTGGGGTAGAGACTGTCAAGGTGATGGAAGGTAATTTTCAGAGGGCTGCCTGGCTGTGTCTGATGTGTTGTATAACCTCAGGCATTTCATTTATTAGGTTACTTGTTACATGTCTATATAAAAGTTGTTACTGTATTGCCTCTGTTGCTGTAAAGTAGTATTTGTTCTGGGTTTTTTGTTATCTCTTACTTTAAAAGACATTGAGTCAAAAAGGTTTTACTATGTTATGAGAGATTTCCTTCCAATAAGCACACAATATTTTCATTCAGTTTCAAATGCACTTTGATTTTCAACAGAAGATAAAGGATGAATGATTTATTGTTCCAGAAACAAAAGCACATCAAGGATGAGCTGTTTCAGTGACTTGGTTTTGTTTTTTAATTAACATCTGTTATACCAAGTTGGAGTTCTCCTTTAAATGCTTGTTCTTGTTACAGTGGTTGAAGCATCAATCTATCTTTAGTTCTTTGAAAATATGTGTGCTGTATTTTTGTTATGTATACATCTACGCTTTTTCTGTAAAAAGTACAATAAATCAAAACCATTCAGCATTTTTTGTACTTGAAATAAAGCCAGACTACAATTTTGTGTTGTGGCCTTGGCAGCAGATGGAATGCAGTGTGCTTACCCAAAGCCTTTGCTATATGCAGTGCAATTTTCTTGGCAACACTTAAAGATTTGGCAAGATAGAGCAATTTGAAATACCACTGGATGTACTGAAATGTATATTTACTCCATATATCTACAGTAATATGAATATGATGCACCTTAAATAGCCTTTAATCAGCCAGTATGCTTCTACTAGCTGCTAAGCAAAGCAGTGGTGATAAAAATGTTTTCAGCATGTAGCTGAGGATGTATGGTAACGGCAGCCAACTCTGAGAATCTATTTAATTAAAATTTCTGGGAACGCATTGCACATGTCCCATCGTGCTTCAGCGGTGAAAGGATGAGGCCATACATTAGGTGCTTCTCCTTTGTATAGGTGGCAACTTTTAGGCATAAAACTGAATTAATTGGACAGCACATCTTTCACTTTGATTGCTGTTAGCCTGCCCAGTGAAGAAAGCAGAGATTTACTTATTAGACCAAAATGCTAAAATTTGCAGTGGAAACAAATACTACTTTGTGGGACTTCTGACTACTACATGCTTTCAAGTGCCAATCCACTGTTGATTTTTAGTCTTGTTGATTTTTGTCCAACCCCTGACCCAAGCCAGGGCCATCTCCAGTTGAATCTTGGACACCTCTATGGATGGAGATTCTAAAACCTCTCTGGACAGTATCTTCCAGTGCTTGACCATCTGTATGGTAAAAAAAAGAAAAAAAAAATTGTTTCCTCTTATCTAATTGTAATTCCCCGTATGCCGGCTTGCATCTATTGTGTCTCATTCCATCTCACAGACTTGTGAGAAGAGTCTGTCTCCCATCTTCTCTGAATCATTTGGTCAGGTACTTGTAGACAGCAATAAGGTCTTCCCTTCATCTTCTCTTCTGAAGCCTGAAGAGATCCAGTTCTCTCAGCTGTTCCTTGTATGTCTTGTGCTCCAGCCCCCCAACCATCTTGGTGGCTCCCTGCCTGTCCATGTCTTTCTTGTAATGGAGAGCCCCAACCTGAACACATACTGCAGGTGTGGTCTTGCAAGTGCTAAATAGAGGAGAAGGATTACTTCTGGACCTGCTGGCTGTTCTTCTACTTAATACAGCCCAGGATGTGTTTGGTCGTCATTGCTATGATGGTACACTGATGGCTTTTTATTGAAGTTACTGTCTACCAGGCCCACCAGATCCATTTCTGTAGAGCTGCTTTATAGACAGTTGCCCCCTAGCCTGTATTTTTGCATGGGGTTATCCCATCCCACATACAGGACTTTGGTTTTACTCTTGTTGAACTTCATGAGATTCATGCAGTACAATCCTGTTCAACATCTTCATTATTGATCTTGATGATGGGGCAGAGTGCACCCTCAGCAAGTTTGTGGACGAAACAAACTGGGAGGAGTGGCTGATATGCCAGAGAATCATGCTGCCATCCAGAGGGACTTTGACAGGCTGGAGAAATGGGCTGGTAGGAAACTCATGCAGTTCAACAAGGGGAAGTACAAAGCCTTGCAGCTAGAGAAGAACAAGCCCAGGCATAATACGTGCTGGGGGCCATCCAGTTGGAAAGCAGCTTGGCAGAAAAGCACCTTGGGGTCCTGGTGGACATCAGATTGATTGGACATGAACCAGCAATGTGCCCTCATGGCAAAGAAGGCTAATGATACTCTGGATTGTGTTAAGAGTGTTGCCAGCAGGTTGAAGGAGGTGATCCTTCCTCTCTACTGATCAGGCCACAGTTGGAGTCCTGTTTCCAGTTCCCAGAGAGCTATGGGCATACTGGAGAGAGTCCAGCAAAGGGCCACAAAGATAGTGAAGGGACTAGAGCATCTTTCCTATGGGGAAAGGTTGAAACAGTTGGGACTGTTTAGCCTGGAGAAGAGAAGTCTCCGGGGGAGGATTTCAATGTATACAAATACCTGAAGGTGCAAAGAGGATGGAGCCAGGCTCTCCTCAGTGGTACTGAGTGACAGGACAAGCAACAACGGGCCCACCCCAAAACATGGGATGTTCCCTCTTAACATCAGGAAATGCTATTTTACTGTGAGGATGACCAAACACTGGCACAGGTTGCCCAGAGAGGTTGCAGAGTCTCCATCCTTGGAGATGCTGCCTGGACATGGTCCTGGGCAGCTGGCCTTGCTTGACCAGGGAGTTTGGACCAGATGACCTCCAGAGGTCCATTCCAACCTCAACCATTTTGTGATTCCTGCTAGTCCATTCCTCTGTCCTGTCCAGGGCCCTCTGAATAGCAGCTCTTCCCTCCAGTGTAATGACCACTCCTTCCTCTTAGGTGCTATCTGTAAAGTTTTTGAAAGTGCATTCAGTCCCATCATCCAAAACATTAATGAAGACACTAAATCGTATGAGTTTCAAAGAGACCAATGCATCCAGGAATGTTACTAGTCTGGGTATGAGAATGCTGGAGCTGCTGCTTATGCTGGGGAAAAGCAATGCTGAAACTTGCACTATGGAATCATACTCCCTAAATTTTCAGGTATCTGGTTCCCTTGAACACTTCTATCCAAATGTTCCTTTTCCTGAAACAGGAACTCCTGCAAAAGGATTTGCCGAAATATGGTGGTATCATATAAGATTTGCCGGGTTTGTAATTTTCTTGACCTGAGAAGATGAAGGCACTGCCTGCATCAGTCTCTTGGCTTTAGAGTGGCAGCCTCAGCTGTACTAAGGAATGCTTTGGAAGGAGCATGTTGTTTGGGTTTGAAATTGAACACACTGGGAAGCTCTTAAGTCACCTAGTAACTCAGTCTTGACATCAGAAATTTCTTGTCCCTGTGGGACCCTTACAGAGAATTATTTCATGCTTCACCTGAGAAGATGGTGGAATCAAAAAATTGGCTGAGAGGTTTTCTTTTTCAGTAGAGCCTGTGTTGTGTTTTGTGGATGTAAGTAATAAAAGCTTAGCACAAAAGAAAGGCCTTTTCCCCAGATGATTTTCTCACATACTTCAGATGGCAAGTGTGTGCATTCAGATGGAAGCCTACCACACTGAGGTGATTTTATCTTCAGGTAATTTGCATTGAAACTGAATGGGCAACTTTCCCTAGAGCACAGCACAGCATAGAAATCTATGTAAAATTACTTCTAAAATATCTAAACTTGCATACAAGCAAGTAGATATGCTCCATTTGCATTGGGGGCGTGTATCTCTTTGAACTTCCGCAGGAGATATGCTCTGGAACAGAAGTATATTAGCAGCTAGTTTGGGAAAATAAAAATGTTTGAGTTAGAGAATAATTTTAGTGGTAAATTGCTCTCTGAATAGTTAGTGAGGGAACTCAGCTTTTCTAAGAAGTACTCAGATATCAACAGTCCTAAGAGTACACACTGCAAGTGGGAATATGGAAAAGATATCTTGTGTGGAATATTTCACTTGGCTTGATTTTTTAAGTAGCAGGCACTCAGCTCATTGAGAACCAGGATGAAACATCTGTTTGAAAGGGGTTTACTGGAATGCCCTCATTTTAAATGCTAAAAACTATTTTAAAGGGAAAGGTGTCTAAAAGCAGTTTGCTCAGATACTGAATTATCCTTAACTTGATTGAGTAAGTAGGGAAAACTTCAGTAGGTAATGTGTGAAAATATTATAACTATGGAAAAAAAAAAGTAAACTGCTTTGCAAGCTTCACTAGTGCTTAATAGCTCTCTGCTAAAATAACAGCAGCCTGTGAAAGCATGATACTTACTTGTAGCATTATAGCATTATTACTGTTTTCTGGAGGCTGTAGCCACCTGAGCTACAGGATCACACAGGCTTAGGAAAAGAAAAAAAAAATATATATGGTGGTATCATATAGATATGGCATAGTTTGGGAGGGTTTTTAATTACAAAATTAAACAAATTTTGCATTGGTTTATATTTGACAAGAGTAGACTATCCTGTTGACTTGTTCTTCTAAATTATTCAGGAATCTGAAGCTTTGTTCCTCAAGGCAATTAAAGCCAATCCAAATGCTGCCAGTTATCATGGTAATTTGGGTAAGAGCCTTTCTAACTCTTATCAGCTGTATTGTTTGTTTGCTTCATATTCATTGTGT